AAAAAAATATTAAAAAAACCCAGAGGCTAACTTAATAAAAGAAAAACCAAAAAACAGACAAACAAAAAAACAAAAACAATTCTAGGACAGTCCATACTGTTACTAACCAGACGTAAGACATAAGACACATTCAGCTATATGAAATCACTGAAATAACTGTGAAAGACAATCACTCATATATTGGGGCTTACTCTCAATATTCACCCTCTTTGTTACTTTAGATGGCTGTCAATTCATAGAAAATATTCAGGCACGTTTTTAATTGCAATATAATAGACCAGAAATGGGGAAATAATTAAAGGCAAACAATCTGTCACATGTCTGCTACATGAGCCATCTATCAAAAAGCTCATTAAAGAACTTGCTAATGAGCTACAAAAGATTGCACTTAAGGTGCGTTAAGCAGCCTTTTCTCTTCTCTGTGACACCTAAGATCTTTCCAGTTATTCCCAACACAATTAACATACACCACTCCTCTGGTATACACTCTCAAGTTGCCCTTTTTTTTGTTCAGGAGCCCAAAATGTACAAACCTTCTACAAAATCAATTTATCTGTGACATAATGCGCATATTTAATATCATGTTTTTATTCATGTTATTTTATTTCATGAGCACAGAAATTATTCCTATGTTATTTTGGTTTGAGGCTGGAAATTAAATTGAATTTTAAAATGTAATTTAAGGCAGAAGGCAATTATACATTTCTCTATTAGACCTTTCAACTGACTTAAATAAAACACTTCTCCACTGTATTTAACACATTGAAATCTACAAATTAACACCATGCGGAGAAATATATTAGGAGCTTCATAAAAATGGTAAAACCTCTAGGCTTAATTGCTGTAAATCTAAAGGATCAGTACTTGAACTTGTTATAACAGTGTCATTATAATGCATTAATATATTATGAAAATATATTTCTATGTCCTCTTAATATACACACAACTTGCTTGTTTATTGAATTTGGGATTGGTTTTTGAATCTTATCACATGAAAGTAAAAACACAAACCACTCACTCCACTTAAATACAGAAATATGATTTCTTTTATTCTTTTATAAGCTTCACATTTGTTTTTGTTTCATGTTATATTGTTATCATATCTGAACTGCTTTGCAGATAAATAATAACAATTCCTGGTTGTTACTGCCAACAGAGTTTAGTTAACATATTTTGTAATTGATACAATATCTACTAGTGGTCTGCACATATTTTACATGCATGTTCACATGTGTGAATGTATTTGTTCAAATGCATCTAAATGATGAGCATAATTGGACAGGGAATACGTATAGTTTTGTGACTGGTTCACCGTACAATATTTGTTAGGATGATACCAAATACTAAAAAAATATTTGACAGATCTTTTTCAAACTTTGTAGATATGTTATATGAAGATCTGCAAAAAAATCAAATTTTGGCAAATCTCACCAACAGCACAGGGAAGGTTGCCTGCAGATGACACTTGACTCAAAAAGTATTTGATGACTCTTATTACCACTTCACAAAAAATTAAATATAAAAATATAAATGAAGATCTAAACCTGACTTAATTTTGAGACAATTCACACCAAAATTGAAGTAGCAGCACTAGATGGCAGTAAAGGAAGGAAAAGGGGGCTGCAGAAGACATTTGAGCTAATAAACACAGTAACTCTAAAAGTATTTGATGTGTCTCTTTGCAAAAAATATTCAACTTTCACAGAAACATTGTGTAGGTGATGATCCCGGGCCAATTTCATTCAAATCACACCAAAACTGAAGCAGTGTCACTTAGTGGTGGCACATAAAAGGATAGCCACAGACACAGATCTAGTGAACCTGATTACATTGAGATAAGTCATATAAAGTTGGGCTTTTAATAAAGATTTTTAAGAGAAGTGGAGAAAATATGTAGGAGGGCCAGAGGTTATAGAGGTTGGGGGTAGGTGGAGCAATGTGAATTGGAACTTTGCCATCTCGCTCATTTGACTTCTTCTGCTGGCCCCTGGAGGATGGGCTCCCCCATTGAGTCTGGTGCCACAACAATGTAATGTTGTGAAAATGTGCTATACAAATAAAATTGAATAGAATTGAATTGAAGGAGTAGTAGGGATTAGATTGGTGGGGTGTGATGGGGCTATCCGGGGAATTGCTGTCATGTACACATCATCTAGTCTTTCTATAATGCTCCACAAAGTCCCTTATTATCAATCAGTTTTACTTTCTAGCTATTGATAACCAAATAAAAGCAAAAAAGGCAGCTAAATAGAGCTGAATAATTCTACATCCACTGGAAACAAAAACACATGTAACAATTTGCTATGTTTCAGAAAACATTTTATTTGTTCTATTTCCTGTTTCATATAGTTAAAAGCAATAATTACACCTACTTTGATATTCTACACATGTAATATTAAACCCATATTTTGCTTGCGCTGTGCCACCCTGGTATGATAAATCTTCAGTGCTCTCCATCTCCATCACCCACCTCTCCTCCAAACACACAAAGGCCAAATTAGTTGGCCTTTGTGTGTTTTGTGTGTTTAAAATTCATAAATGCACCACATAGATTTGTGTACTGCACCAAGGCTTTTTGACTTTGTCAGGAACCTTTATTTAAACAAAATGTTTTTAAAAATCACTAAATTATAAATGCTCTGGTCAAGATTATACCAGCTCTGGTGTTGGGGTTGGCACTGAACCGTTTTTAAGTTTAAAATACATAAAAGCACCACATAGATTTGTGTACTACATCAAGGCTTTTTGACTTTGTCAGGAATCTCTATTTAAACAAAATAAATCAAAACATTTTTTTTCACTAGGCAAGGCATGCCCATACATGTAAGGCAAGATAAGATCCATTCAGTTTATTCATATAATTCTCTTGAGGTTTATTTTACCATAATTTTTTTTATTGAGGTATGCTGTCAAAAGAAAGGTCCAGAAAGCCACACCAAAAATATTAAAACCAATCTTTTCATGGAAGCCTAACAAGGTAACCAAGAGGTAAGAAACAAATTGGATGATAAATAATTGTTCTGAGGATATTCTATGGCTGATTTAAGACACGGGTCGGCACCAACCCGTTTAACATAAGAGATAGGAACAGAAAGCTAACATAGGACTAAGGTTGAGCACTAATACTACATAAAAGGAGAAATAAGTCTGACCGTGTTGAGGGATTGTGTCCGGCTATTACACTGCATATGAGCAACACCCATCCATCCATCCATTCTTCCATCCATCTTCTAAACATGGTTGTCCCATGCAGGGTCATGGAAGTGTGGAGCCTATCCCAAAAGTTATGGGCGCAAGTAAGAGAAACATTTCAGCAAAAATACAGTTGAATTTGTTCAGAATTTAGGCAGCAGGTACAGTTCAGTTTGTTTATTCAGTTATTCAGGGTGCTAGAGTAACTTCATTACCTGCCATTAAGGTGTAAGCTGATTGCTCTGCATTACTGTAGTATTGAGTTAAAACAGTGACTTGTTCAGTTATTTAAAATGAAATTCCAAAAACCATGGTCACATAACGTAGGGTAGTTTGTTCCAGATGCTGACCATTATTATTTTGTATACATCAGCTACGATACTGTAATGGAAATGACTCTTCATATTTCAGATTTGGATGTGGCATGGTGGTGCAGTGGTTATCACTGCTTCCTCACAGCTCTGGGACCAAGGTTTGAGCCTTTGGCATGGTGTGTGGAGTTTGCATGTTCTCTCTGTGTCATTGTGGAGTTTCCTCTAGGTGCTCTGGATTCCCCCCATAGTCCAAAAACACAATGAAATGAATTGGAGGTGCCAAACCACATGGAGTGAGTGGTGTGTGAGTGTGCCTTGCAATGGGTTAGTGTCTCATCCTGGGTTGTTCCCTGCCTTGCACCCATAGCCTCTGGGACAGGCTCTGGATCCCATGCAACCCTGAATAGGATGAGTGGTTTCAGAAGATGGATGGGTATTTCACATTTGCCCATTTTTCACAGTGCAAGGCTGCGATGAGATTTGAATATACTTCATATATAAATTTCTAAGGAATAAGTAAAATAATAAAAATGATGTTCAGATATATTTTTCATTTTCTTCACAATTCATCGATGTATCTCTTTTTGCCATTTTTTCCATCCCTCCTTCTTCCCATTGACTTCCACTCATTTTTTAGAGGATGCCCACTCAATCTCAGGGTACAAACACACACTTTACGGACTGCAGAGGTGGAAAGTTCAGGTCCAGAAAGTATAAATCCAGATCAAGGATTTGTTTCAACCAACCAGTTGAGTACTCTGTGACTGTGACTCTCTATATTCAACAGGTTGGTTGAAATAAAACCTTGGTCTGGACCTAAATTTTCCACCTCTTACGGACCGTTTAGCGGGTCCAGCGCATTTAACTGCATGTCCTCAGAAGACAGGTGGAAACTGGAGAACTCGGAGAAAGCCTGCGTACAACAGGAAAATAAAATGCACAAATATAAATAAATTACATATAGGTTTATGGGATACATTATCAAATGTCCTTCTATTACATTGTTTTTGATATTAAATATGTTACGAGTGTGGAATGGGAAGAACAGCATTTGCTTACCCTCAGTTCGTGTCATTTAATTTTTCTGTTTCCATGGAGACGGCTGTTTCCGTTCTTCGAACTTTTGTGTTACACGTATTCCATTCCGGGTGCAAAATAATACCTCGCTGATTTTTAAATAATCCTCAATCAAACACATTTCAATTCATTGGGAAAATCATAGCTTAATAACTTTTTCGGTTTTAAAATATAGTTTCAAACACAATTTACTGAAACATTTTACACATACACATACAATTGTATTTTTTCCCACAAAATTGTTGAATTGCAATAAAATATGACGAAGTGCACTCAATAAAGAATAAACACAATTGATATTTGATCACAGCTTGCTTTTCTATGAGCTGGTAATTACTAAAATAATTATTATATTATGGGCTTTAACCACAAAAACCTCACATCTAAAATAATAACACTACATATTGTTTCCGGGGACGGTAAAGCACGAAACAAACGTTCTCACGTGGAGCTGCCGCTGGATCCTGTATGTCGGAATCTGGATAAATGATGGGTTCTGAGGATAACAGCACCGTCTTCTAACATGAGGTTTGTTATTAATTTATGTATAGTGTATTTAGTGCACAGTTACAGGTTTCATTTTCAAGTAATTGGCTCGCCCTGATAGCTAGCTGTCTAACCAGATGGTTTACGTTTGGCTGAAAAAGACATTTACTGAAGTTTTATTTATCGGACACCATAAAATATATGCGTAGAATACTTCACTGTTTCATAACAAGCAGCAGATACTAATATTGTTTCGTAGCTCTCATTAATCTTACAATCTGTTAGCACGGTAAGCTAGTTAGCTTCCGACTTCTTTTTTTTTTGTTGAATAATTCATTTTTTTGAATGTATATTTGGCTGTAGATGTTGATCGAATCGAAATGACAGAAGAAGACCTGTTGCAAAAAGACTGGTATGCTGTCCTGGATGCCAGTCCAACAGATTGCTTACAAGTACTGAAGCAGAAGTACCAAAGACTGGCGCTGTTGGTAGGTACAATTTTATGATAAAACTTTCAGTGCAATGTCATTAACTGTTTGGGATTGATACACATATATATTATATATATATTACTGTTTAAAAATTCACTAAACTCTTTCCAGCTCTATGAATCAGACATTAGATGCCCAGATGAGTACTCGTTTCTTACGTTATCCAGTCACAGCTTCATTTGCAGAAATGTCTGACATATGTCGTTCAGGTGCTGGAATAATTTGAAAATGCAGTAATTTTCTTCTGGCCAAAATAAAAATGTTCAGTTGCAGCACTAAATACTTAAAGAGGATTCTCAGCTCAAAGAAATTTAATGTGTGTTAATCTAACTTTTCACCTGAAATGAGTATTAATATTCTTTTTATTATTATTGTTAATCTTTGAAAACAAAGTGCGTGTAAGCTGATTTGTTTAATCCGCCATTTTAATTACTGTAACAACCTTCGCAAAATGGTATTTCAATCTATGAACATGAAACATTGATTAAAAGAAGATTCTCAAAATTCTTCTTGTGTTACACTAGAGTAAGCCAAATGTATCACCAATTATTTTCTAATTGTAATCAGCATTCATTTCTTTTTTTAAAGCGCAGACAATTATGTTATCAATTTTGTGATTTAACTAACAAATTTCTTCAAAGATCTGCATGGTGTTCTTTATAGTACCAAGCTTGTGCATGACAGCCGACTCCCTCATTCTAACTCCAGTGTGGCCATTTAATTCTCCCCAACTGTTTCAAATATCATTACTGGTTTGGGCTGACAATTTGGAAAAATAATTGAATTATCGGACTTTGCTACAATAGAAGTGTCACAGAGTCCCATTTCCCAATAGAGAACTGGCTGGAGGCAAAACTTTAAGCAGGAAAACCGTCCCACCCCCCTCCCCGCTTGTGTACCAAATGAGTCTGCTTTGTAGACATTAGGTGGCAGTAGTGTGATGTTATTGGCCTTTGCTCTGCCCCCCCCCCCCGTTGCAGTTTCCCTCCAAATGCCTGTGCACGACCTAGAGAACGGTAGGGGGAGGGAGGGGTGGTAGGGATGTTGAGACGGCCCTGAGTACTCTGAATTGTCAGTGTTGTATACCTACCTTAGCTCCATTAGCCCAAGTAAATGAATAATTTACAACAGCTGCAAGCAGAGCGCAATTAAAGAGCATAACGGGGGTGGTGTGAGCCAAGACTATTAAAAAGACCCAGGTTTTCATTCTCCAATGTGTTTCTGACAAAAACCTAAATTATATGGCAAAAGAAGACCCAAGAAGAGATTATTGGGCCATTTCCCTTTTTCTGTTTCCTGTTCTTTTGGTAGGCCTTGGTGCAAAAGAAACTGTCATTTTAAATGCGAAAAGGGTTGATTATACAGGATAGGTAAGTATATGTTACGCGTGCTTTATAAATACATGTTTATGAAATATGCACAACTTCCGAAAATAGTTCATGTATTTTTTTAAAATGGACTAAAATGCACACAGCTGTGATTGTAAGAGCTGGAACTGACAGAGTAAACAGGACGGACATTGTTATATTTCCGTCTGTTTGGACTGAGTTTGAATTTTGAAAAAAAAATCTGGGTCAGGACACAATTTGGAATGAAATAGTGAACTTGTAGGGAGGGACTGAGTAGCTAAAATTGTACATGAACATTAACGATCTGTCCCTGGATCAAAATGTCTGCTGGCAGAAGCAGGGCATTGTTTAAGAGTTTTAGTTTTGATTGTACAATAGTTGTAGAATTATGTGAAACTTAACCCTTTGTATCACCAAGGGTTTCCTCTAAGCAGATAAATTTAATTTTAAGTATTTTAAAAGTAAACTGTGGTGTACTGCTAGTTCATCCTGCGAACTCTCTGTGCCTTCCTGTCTACATTATTTTATTTTTTTTGATATGTGCAGCTCACTCCCTGTTCCATGGGGGGTTAGGGCACTGTAGAAAATTTCAGAAATATTTGGGGTGAAGTTTTGCCCCCACTGTTTTAAATATGGGGGCATTTACAAAATTTTGAGGGCACTTTTTAGGAATAGTAATTAATGCATAAAATGTATGTTTTTAATGTCAAATGAGCCCAGATTGAAACACATACGTTAATCACCACCTTGTGCCAACATGAGTAAATAAATAGCTGTTTCAGTTCTAAAGAGAAGTGTGCAGTCATTTGTATGTTTGTAGAATTCAGGAGACAGTTCTAACTATTTAGGCTTTTATTTAGCTCTTAATAACATTTGTGTGTGTGTGTGTGTGTGTGTGTGTGTGTGTGTATATATTAGTTTACAGATAAAGTGAAAACTTTATTACAGTGTTCCAAAAGAACTCTTTAAAAAAAACATAATCCTCTTTATAAACTGGTCTATTGAAAATGTTTAGGAAAATAAAAGGCAATGTTTTACAACTGAAAATGCAAACCCGTACCTTCAAAAAAATAAAACAAATACTGCAAATGATGATATTTCTAACCTGTGAGCAATACAGTAACATTTTAAAATGGTGACTGTAAAAGTTGTTGATGGCGGGTGGTGAAGCAATGGGTTAGCAAATGATCCTCAGCCACACTCCTAGCAGAGATCGGCTCATTTGGTTTTGGATGGAAAAAATAGTGTTACATAATAGTATGTAGTTTCAGTTGTATAAAGTTATGCATGTATGTACTGTGAACAACAGTGCTGGTTGTACGAGTGTGTGTTAGAGATGGAAATGAATAAAAATAAAATGATGGCTTTTTTTTCTTTATTTTTTAAATCTTGAGGGAAATTTTTGCCCCTCTGATCATGGTTTTTAGGGGCATTCTGAGATTTATTGGGGCATTTTAACCCTTTGCCCCACTTAATTTCCTACCCTGGGTTAGGGCTAGGGTTATTTAGCTATGGGCAGCCCACTCTCTGTTCCATGTGGGCTTTAGCTTAGGGTTATTTAGTTATGGAGTGGGGCTGTACCGTATCACATCATGATCATTTTAAATATTTACACTTAATATTGCATCTATAAAACAAAAAAACAAGATGAAATTTACCTGAAATAAACCAGCCAAACAGAACTTGTTAATAGCTACCAATAAAGTGTATCAAATACATTGGGGGTGGCCATGAGTTGTCAAAAGACACAAACAGTGACGACAAATGCAACGTGATTACAGGGCTTTAGATAACAGGTGTAAAAATGTGTCTGGACGCTGCCTTTTTGGTACTATTCGGATGTTTACTTACGCCCACAGATTGATAAGTGGATTAGCAGTATATCTGAGATAAGAACATAAGAACTATACAAACGAGAGAAGGCCATTCGGCCCATCGAGCTCGCTTGGGGAGAACTTAACTAGTAGCTCAGAGTTGTTAAAATCTTATCTAGCTCTGATTTAAAGGAACCCAAGGATTCAGCTTCCACTACACTAGCAGGAAGACTATTCCATACTCTGACTACACGCTGTGTAAAGAAGTGCTTCCTTAAATCCAGTTTGAAATGTTCTCCCGCTAATTTCCACCTATGGCCACGAGTTCTTGTATTTGAACTAATGCTGAAGTAACTATTTGGTTGAACAGCATCCAAACCTGTTAGAATCTTATAGACCTGGATCATGTCCCCCCTCAGTCTCCTTTGCTTGAGGCTGAACAGATTTAGCTCAACTAACCTTTCCTCGTATGACATTCCTCTAAGACCAGGAATCATTCTTGTGGCCCTACGCTGTACCTTTTCTAAGGCCACAATGTCCTTTTTAAGATATGGTGACCAAACCTGCACACAATATTCTAGGTGAGGTCTCACCAAGGAATTGTATAATCTTAGCATTACCTCCCTTGACTTAAAATATTAAGATATTAATGACAGGCATATTGTGATAGCCAAAGTTAGTAGTTTGTATAAATTTGGTGTATCCTTATGTTTAATAAATGTGTCGGATTAAAAACAGCAAAATGTACCACCACACCTCCGATGTCTGTTTACCTTATTTATCAACAATATCTCCTCTTTTAAAAGATGATGTGGCTGCAGAGCCGTCCCTTTCTTCACTGCCGCTTCAGTACTTATCGCTTCCTTGATATATCAAAGCAGCAGCATGTGGGCTTGCTCCGCTAAACAGATTTAATAAATATAAGGATATGCTGTATTTATACAGATTACTACCTTTTGAGCATCACAATACGCCTCTCTGATTAATATTTTAGGCATACTGCTAATCTGCTTATCAAATTGTGGGGATAAGTAAGTGCCCATATAGTTCTGAAAAGCTGGAGTCCAAACAAATTTTTACGCACGTTCCCTGAAGACCTCATGATTAAGGCACATGCCCGTATATTGCGATTTTATCGTGATGTAATATGGTGATGCCCTAATATGGGCAGCTCACTCCCTGTTCCACGTGGGGTTGCGCTTATTTAGATATGTGTTCCTGTGTTCTTGTCCGATATGAATATATATGGTGTTACTGCTGTGACCCATTTTGAGACCTTTGCATTCCCAGAGGTCTGAACCCCAATCGCTGGCAGTATGGATCCCATCTGAGCCTCGTTGCAACGGGGGCACAGCGGGTGGATGGGGGGGTGGGGACTTTCATTTGGCAGAGCGATCAGTTAATGAAGAGTGCAGAGGAGCGATAAGAAAACACACTCCCTAATTAGAAGCTGATGAAGCATGCCGGTCCTCAGAACAAGGTGTGTCTAGGTAACAAGTCTCACTGACATGAAAGCAGCAGTGGGTCCCACCAGCCTCCCGGGCCAGAATTATTGCTTCTGTTTGATAGCTGATCACAAAGAGTCCGTGATGTAGATTGGGGATGAAACTGACCTGTGAAAAACACAGCGTTGTCTGCTGATTTAATCTGACTGCAAACCCGTGTTGCATATTTTAGCTGTTGCTGATGATGTGGAGGTCAGTCTTCTTTAGTGCTTCAACTTTGATCAACCCGTATTGAATCTAATAATCACTTCACATTTGTTTTGTTTTTTTTGGATAATCCTTATTAATTACAGAAAATCAGTCACAACAGATTGTAGAGGAAACTACTG